TGCCGCACCAAACAGTCAAAACTTCAAGGTATTAATTTTCTCAAGTGGGCGTCTAATGCGCCAACCGAGTCCTGTGTTACTAATCTGCTTTCGGATTGCCCGAGCTCGAACTACTAAAATACTCAAGGCAATCATGTTTCCAAAAACTGATTTGGATTTTAATCCACACAAATCAGTGACAAATTCTTTTTCAATTTAGACTTAGTGTCGCAAAAATCCGGGTTGAGACCTGTTTTGTTTTACTCTGGTCCTTTTAAAGGGCAAGTTACTAGTGCAGTCACTAGTTTCTAGCCTGACATCTAATAACCTAATATTCTTTACTAATTACTTTTCTCTTGTCTACTTCAATTTTGACAAAAATAGGACCCTTCCGGATTGGTGAAAATAGGACCCTTCCGAATTGGCAAAAAGTGGACCCCTCCGGATTGGCAAAATAGGTTCCCTCCGGATTGACAAAAATAGGACACTTCCGGATTGGCAAAAATAGGACCCCTCCGGGTTGGCAAAAATAGGACCCCTCCGACTTGGCAAAGGTAGGACCCCTCCGGAATTGCAAAAACAGAACCCCTCCGGGTTGGCAAAAATAGGACCCTCCGGATTGGCAAAATTGGGACCCCTCCGGATGGGCAAAAATAGGACCCTTCCGGTTTGGCAAAATTGTTACCCTTCCGAATTGGGACCCCTCCGGGTTTGTAAAAAAACGTTCCGGGACTTTTAAAAATCTCATCCGAGGCCCTCCCGGATACGTTCTTTCGTGCTATAATGCTATAGGAACTAACTAGGAAGGGTGTATTTTCCATCCGTAGGCCCTTCCGGATCGTAGTTAAGCCTCTTATTCTGCTATTCTACTCGACTGTGAAGATCCTTCTAATTAGCCTAGTTTCGACTCGACTATTGTTTTCTGGGTTTTAAGCCCTCCCTGTTTGTCTAGAACAGCGTAAAATTGCCTTATTCAACCGTTACTACCGAAAAGTTTCACAAAACGTGAAGATCGGTCTACCTTCACTTATTGGTAATACTGCTAAAATTAGTCTTAAAAATTTTTTACGCTTACTTTTTTCCGGATAATTGAAAACTTTATGAGTAAGCTCACCTAATTTTTGATCTAATGGTACCAAGATCAATTGGATCTGTTCAGTAGTTCCAAAGTTATTAAACAACACGTCTTTTTTCTAAAGTCAAGAAACTTTCTCTCTTATAGGTTTCGCGTAAATTTTTTTTTCGCAATTCTTATCTTTTCGACCTAAAAATTATTGATCCGAGCTCAAGAGGCCTCTATTCTTCTAGTTCAATGCAAAAGTCCCGATCTAAAACGTTCCAGCTGAAAAAAAAATATTTTTGGTTACTTCCGGATTGATGAGTCCACTAAATCAAACACGTTAAGTCCGATTTCACTGTAACCCGGAAGGTTACCGGCAAACGGGTTTTAAAACCTGTCGATTCACAAGCGAGCGAACGCTGTCCGAACAACAATTTTTACTGTCCTAACTCAAAATCTTTAATAAATTTTCTTATTTTGTAGCGTTTCTTTTTTAAAAAAAATAAAGAAAATTCGGTTTTTGGTACCCAATTAGTTCCAACCTTTTCTGAACTAAACTCAACCGGTTCTACCAAATATACTAGTACAGTTACGATGTAAGTTTTAATTTTGCAATTCTTTCCGTTTCAAAATTATCGATATCTCAAAAATAGCAATTTGTGGGGGGATCAAAATATCGCTTTTTGACCCAAAAAACCGGTCTGCTTACTGTGTTTTTCTCTGAAAACGGTATAGAAGTATTTAGATAGGCTGTATAAATAGTAATACTAGTAAAATTATACCCCTCCGGGTTGGTTCAATACCCAAAATAAGGTGCTTAACTCGGAAATTTGCAATTCGGAGAAGGGTCACTTCAGTGCAGTCACTGTCGAGCCCCCCACAGGTTGGTATCTTAATTTCTGTAAGATAAGAGATACAAAACTTGTTACCGATACCCAACAGTCGATTGTTGTTGTCCTTGACCCTTCTTGTCGCTCCTTGCACTGCTTGCCGGATCACACTTCTTCTCTAATCCCGAGACCCTTCCGGATTCAGCGCAAAATAGCATTAACGTGCTTAAATACTCAAATAACCCTACAGTACAAGCACCACAAACGGGCCACAAATTTGATCGTAACGATCCTGACTGATATAAATGCCTATAAAAACAATATCGTCTGGGGGGATGATTTCTACTGATTTTATATATATATATGTATTTTTATCGGTTATTTAGTTGTTTTTTGTTTTTTCTTAGAACCTATAGTACTTTTTGTTTGGTTTCTTGTAAATCTTTAAGCGTTTCTGGTCACAAACCTCTCAGGGATTGACGGGACAGCCAATCCCCCCACCCTTGCTGGTATGTGAATTCTCGGTCTTAACTAGGTTAAAAAGCTATTTACGGGAATCTGGAAGGCTTTCGCGTTCCAAACTACCCTTCTGCCCCAGTAGTCAGGGCCTTGTTTTGAGCAGCCGCTCGGCGCGGAGTGCTCGTTAAAGGTTCTGCCGGTCATGATGTTAAAAAAGAAAAACACCCAGGAGCGCCATAAAAACATCTATGTAACGTTCGCCCGGAAGTCCATATCGACGGAAAACAAAGCTAGGTTCTAAAACGACTAGCTAGCGTCTAATTACAGCTCAACATGCTTTTCAACGTCTCTGTCAAAGTCAGTTCTTTTGGTGGTCTTTCTAACATCGGGTCGATAAAAAAAACGTTACTGTTTCCGGCTTCGATCAGAACGCTCTAATTAACTTAATTATATGCAAAAATAGTGAGCTCATGGCTGGGTCTCAGTATCCCCAGACCACGAGGTCACTCCCAAAAACAGGGCTACTACTTATTTATTATATTACGATTGTTTTTGTTCAGTAAACAAAAAACATCATCTCCATCGAAGATGGATAAACCCTTTCCCTCAACTCCTAGCTTCTCATGATCTGAAAATGAATTTAGATAGATGTTAATTGAATTCAATTCAGAACATCTCCAGGAAAATAAAATTTTAAAAAATACAATTCGAGTCTCCCTCCCGAGACCCCTCCGGATTCTGGAATCCAGGGAAATAACGTCCTTACTCTTTGTGGAAGGCTGAACACGCAAGCCGTCCCACCACCCTTCCTTGTTCTTGGGATTCGCGTTGTAACGATTGTTGCGGCACAATCGTTACAACTCGGAATGGTCTTTGTAAAGTTTTCTTCAATCTCGATCACAATTTCCGTTCACTGCTTTACTTCACGAGTTTTGTTGTTGTTCTGTCTGAGACTAACTGTTGTTGTTGTGTGTTTTCGCCGTTTCAGTTGGTGCGAAATTTGGACGTTGTCGCGTGTCTTTCTTTTTGAACGAATTTTTAAAAATTAACATGAAACTCCAAATTAACCCTTCCGCGTTCGTCAAAATGAACGACTAAGACCACTAATTTGTTAAAACCGTTAACTTTCCCACTCCGATCTCACAATAAAATTTCGAGTTCTGTTTTTGCATTTTCGTACATTCTGGTCGAATGTCACAACTTTTATGATGGTGGAACTTTATACAAGTCGATACACCAGTGAGAAAGAAGCATCTTACACAGCCTAGCAAAAATCTAGGAGAGGGCGGTGTATCCACTGGCATAAAATTTGACTGGCATAAAATTGAAAATTGTATCGACTAGCATAAAAATCCAAAAAAAATTCAATGAAGTACATTAATTGTTTCAAACAGAAACAATTACTGGCCAAATTGAATCATTATAAACAAAATATTGATTAACCGTACACTTCGTGACCCTACTTAGAAAATTTCCCGTTAGCCAAGTTGTAATTTTGAAAACTATTTCTGTATAAAATCTGTATTTTGAACAAACTCACTAATAAAATTGGAAATTGGACCACGTGACCATGTGAACATCCTCCGAGTCTGTTTAACTATCTCGTCTCTTTTGCCAAATGGGGAGATTCGTGAGATTGTCTTATGATTCCGAGTCTGTTTAACTATCTCGTCTCTTTTGCCAAATGGGGAGATTCGTGAGATTGTCTTATGATTAACCGTTGATTTATTTTTTGTAGGGGGACTCGATCGAGGTACTCGAAGGTGTGGGCGTATGGTAGGGGGTAAGCGTATGATTGCAATTTTCTTTTTCTCAGAAATGCAAGTTTGTTTCGAACGGATTATGACTGTTCTTTAATATTTCTGATAAATAAAGCTATCAAATTATGCTAGTCGATACTTTTTCATGTTTTTCAAGCATGTTTCATATCGAGTAGTCTCACATTTCTCATCAAACAACAAAATAGTTGCAGCTCATTTCTTGATTTTTAAAAAAAGCCAAATGACCACATTTTTGAGGTAAAATTTTGGTTGAGCATTTAAGCAACTTTTGCTATCTTCTTTCTTGTCTAATATGAACTCAATTTGAAAAAAAATTAATTTGAATTTTTAAATTTTGTTCAATTTGATCGGTTAATTTAAATCAGCAATGTATAAATCGGCGAAAATCAAACGAATTATTGGCAGCTTTTTTTGAACTCGATCGGATCGTTTCTTTGATCTGAGGGATCTACTGAACTATCTCCTTCCTTTTCAGAAGGTAGATTGCTAAGTAGTTTAGGTTTTCGACCAATCATAATGCAGCAAAATTAGAATTCTCAATACACAGCTCTAGTGCTAATTACTGTGTTTATTCATAGGGGTGGAGATTCTTTAAAAGATACCATGGGGGGATTGTTAAGTAGATCCGACCTGAGAGTGAATGGCAAGGTCATTTCTGCTTTCATTGATGGCGCACTTCGCAGCAGACGTTTCAGTCTTGCTTCATGCTGAAAACTTATTTTTCTTTCAGGCTAGGTGTTTTATGTGTGAGTGTTCAATGAAAAATCTATTTGTTTTCGAAATTTTTATCAAACCATTTTTTTGTTGAATTTTGAAGTGGTTTGTGAAATAACTAATATCAGATTTGAGTTTTTTCTTGTGTAAGCGAAGTGTCAAATTTGAAAAATGCAGGTGAAAGTTGTGGATCCATCCAGCGGAGGGAGACAGAAACACAGCGACGACAAAGATGTGAACGAGGTCAGTGGCCGCTACGGCAAAGTTTGTGGAAATGGTGCGTATTTCACAGAAGATCCACAACAGGCTGCCGACTACAGTGCATTTAAAAATGGAAAGATGGAAGGCTACACCTGCATGTTCGAGGTGCGGCTGAAACCAGTGAAAACTCGCATACCAGAGAAGGAACTGGCTTACAGAATTGTTAACGAACCCCAGTACGCCAGGCCCACCGGAATCTGCGTTTTTGTCGGCAACAGCAAATTGAAACAATTCGGGTGGGTTAATCGAGCAAAAATTGATCTTAAGTCGAATCGAACCCTTTTCTCTGAAATGTTGAGTTTAATTTTAAAAATGCAAAATACTCGGCCCAATGGTCGCAGTGCAGACAGTTTTTTTCGCTCAAAGTCTTGCAAATACTTAAACACCTCACGTTGGCCAATTTTATAGTGCATTTCTATTATAAGTGACACTGAATGTGGGGAAGACTTTTAGCTAGGTCCTGCTCATTTTTTTGTTCGTTTTTGTTTAGTTAGAACTTTTCTCGCCGATGATTATTTGTGGTACCTGCTTTTGCGTAGGAAAAAATAAAAAAATCTAAAACACACGCGAATACCACGTTCCTCGCCATTTTCAATGGTCGGAACAAAGCGTGAAGTATTTCTAGCTTCGACAGTAGATATTGATTCAGTTTTCTCAAATTGGGGTATTTTTTTTCAATGTGTCGAAGAGCTTCAAATCATATACATTTTCTTTTGAAGCCTGCAAATTGAAGTTTTTTCGGTTTCCTTGCGTTCATTGACATTTTTCAAACTATCTGTGGGTTGTGTTTACTTATTATCCTTTGTGGTGCGTCGTTGTTTAGTCTTAAACATGACGTCAACAGTGTGCTAGCTATTCGTGCTAAATTCCATTATCGGTCAAGGTCGTTACCGACCTGCCAATCCACTCTAGCCTTAACAGCATGCGCTCTCTATTCATTCTCTTCAACTTATGAAAGATTTCAGTTGTATTTACTTCTATTGTCATGACATAATTTAAATACTAATCTATCTATATTATTTACATGATAACATAACAAGGAGAATTGATTCTTGTTTTAAAACTGTCTTTCGACAATTCACATGGCGCAGCCAGCAGTTTCGACCTCAGAGGATCGAACTGACCTGTTGGGCGTATCCGTATTTTGGCATAAACCAACTGCGGACCCACCACATAGCTGGGATTCGTGGATAGGTCAATTCAATTTGGCAATTACTCTAAGAGAGAGATGCGATCCACGAGAGTTATTAAAACCTCCGGGTGTCGTACACGACGATCCTGCTCCAAAACCAGAAGTTGTGGGGGCGGATGAAGATGCTGCAGCAATCGCAAGTCGTATTGCACGTAATGACGCGGCGGTCCGGAAAGTCACAGAAATGAATGAAGAGCGCCGGGCGAAAGGTCCCTGAATTGCACCAGGAGTGTATTATTTCGAGGTTGAACAACGTGTTAAATCTCGTTTATTTTTCTCGCTCGGCTCAGAAGGGAGGAAAAGATTCCTCCAAAATTATCCACATGCGGATCTGAGCGAATTAACGTTTCGGGAATTCCATGAATTCTGTGTTCTCCTATTCAGAAAGGAGAAAAATTTCATCATCGAACGTATGCAAATATACAACGCGGTACATTCAGACCGAGAAAGTTTGGAAGCATTCTATTTAAGTTTGACGGGACAAGCCGCCCTGTGTGGATGGACAATTGATCAAGAAAAGGAAGTCGTACGAGATATCTTCATTGCCAAAATGAGATATAGGATATTCAGAGAGAATTATGTATTCATCCAGGTGCTACTCCGGAGGATTCTTTGAAATCAGCTTTACTGCAAGAAAAGGGAGCACAAACGGCCACCGATTTGCAAAGGCAACTCGGGAGTTCGTCGTCGTCGGGCAATTATTCCCAGGCAGGTGCTACCTTGGGTCAGAATTCCCGGATAAAACAGGAACCCACCTTCTCTGTCCAGGGTAAGAAACTTTCGGACAGGATTAATCGGGCACAGAATAGTAAGAAAAAGGGGATCAACGAGAAATCGAAGTCGTGTTATTTCTGTGGTAACAGATTCTCAACAAACCACAAGCAGAGTTGTCCAGCCAGAAATGTTACTTGCAGGAACTGTGACAAAAAGGGTCACTTTGCCAAATGTTGTAACTCTAAGAATGTAGCGAACGTGGAAGCTGAGTCAGATGAGACAGTGGAAGAAACTTGTAATTTCATCGCGTCCGATAGTGAGTCGGAATTCACTGTTTTATCTGTAGCAGCAGTGAAACCAAGTCTCCCAATTAGGTCAGTGAAAAAGTTGGAGGTGGTCAATGCCGCCACGGGCAAGTTACGTTCCATCCAGATAACACTACGTTGTGGTAAGACGTTTTTCAATGCAACAGTGGATACTGGGAGTCCAGCCTCCTTCGTGAATAAGAAGACAGCAGACTATATTCTGAAAACGGTTCCTTCAGCCAAGTTCTTCACGGTTCAAGAAAGTCCAATTGATACAGTATACGTTGACTATAATCGGAAGAAAATTGAATTGATGGTCACGTTAATTATGGATGTATCATCTTTGGGATGGCATATCAAGTCTGCAAAATTCCTTATTTCAGAAAATCGCACACGTTGTTTACTGGGTTTGGATTTGCAACCCCAATTGGGAGTAAGAACAACGCAAGTTAGACCAGATCGTCCTTTGGTGGGAGAAGTCTCCCAATCAAACCCGAATTTAACATCGGATTCATGGAAATCTCACTTTCACCAGAAGTTCCATCGGGTATTCAGTAGAATTGGCAAAGCCAAAAACCACAAAGTATTCTCTACGTTCAAGTCTCCACTCGTCCCCATTCAAGAAAAGGGTAGGAGAGTGCCGGTGCATATTCAAGATAAAGTTGGTCAGGAAATCCAAAAACTCATTCATGAAGGGCACGTGGTTAAATTGAATAAATGTACCAGTGAGTATTTCATCTCTCCGATAGTAATTACGGCCAAGAAAGATGGTTCTGTGAAATTAGCTATGGACGCTAAACCTATGAATGAACAAATTCATAAGAACCATTACCAAATGCCGAATTTGTTGGAACTATTGGACTCGGCCGCCCAGATAATCACGTCGGACATTTCAGGAGATGTTTGGTTTACGTCCTTAGATTTAAAATATGCCTTCAGCCAGATTCCGCTCAGTGAGGAAGTTAGTCGACATTGCAATTTCAATATCGTCTGTGGAGAACAAACTGGCACGTATCGGTTCAAGACGGGGTTTTATGGTCTAACGGACATGCCAAAGGAATTCCAAAAAGCGATGGACAATACTCTCCAGGGTCTGTCAGGGGTATTTTGTTTCCTTGATGATATTCTGATTGTTTCGAAGGGTTCAGTCGAGGATCACAATATTCTTGTAGACAAGGTGATAAGTCGTCTGGATAAAGAAGGTTTTGCTCTGAAATTTTCGAAATGCGAATTTTCCTTGAATCAATTATCTTGGTTAGGATACGATATTGATTCAGAAGGATACAGACCGAAACGTTCTAAGATAGAGGCAGTACTTGCTCTGGAACCACCAAGAACACTCAAACAACTCCGTTCATTCATGGGCATACTCAACCACCTACAACGATTTTTGCCGAATCTTCAGGTCCATTCCGACCAATTACGCCCGCCACTGACGGCAGGTAATAAAAGCAAATTTGTGTGGGGGGAATGTCAGCAAATGGCGTTTAGTAACATCTTGCAGTTGATCGCGAACATAACAAAAATGTATCACTATGACCAAAGTCGGAACTCGCGGGTGAAATGTGACGCCAGTCATAGTGGTCTGGGTGCTGCATTAGAACAGGAAATAGAAGAGGATGTTTGGGTGCCAATTGCTTTTGCATCACGTTTTCTAAACGATCAGGAGAAGAAATACAGTACCAATGAATTAGAACTTCTGGCGATCGTATGGTCGTGTGAGCATTTTCGAACGTACTTGTTAGGGAATCATTTCGTGATTCTAACTGATCACAAAGCAATCATATCTGCATTAAAGACGAACCGCGGAAACAAAACTTATCAGTCACGTTTAACTAGATGGGCTGATAGGTTATTACCTTTCGATTTCGATATCTTCCATATCTCCGGCTGTAAGCTAGGAATCGTGGATTACTTATCTCGTTTCCCAACATTTGAAGCTCCACGACCAAGCAGTTTTGACGAACAATATGTCGTCAAATGCATTAGTCGATTCTTTGATGCGTGTGAATTCTTGGACGGTTGGGCCAGGCATTATACTTCAACTGAGGAGTTATCTGAAACCGCGGAAGTATGTCAGGATTATGTCGTGCCTGACCAAATTAACCTAGTTGAGTTATTGGGAAATTGTCAGTCTCGGATCAATTGTCCCGATACCAACAGTTCACTTGTTGCATCGAACAAATTTGGAAACATACCGGTAGAGGGCGTCTTAATTCAAGACATTCAATCTACACCGAAAGGTTTATATCCGCTAGAGGGCGACAAAATGTTAGCCATTAGTCAAAATAACTCCTCTAATCTATCGATTCTTTCTCCGCTAGAGGGCGTCCAACGTGTTGGCTCATATTCTAGCCAATCAGCGTTGAGTATTTTGCCACTTTCTCAGCATGGATCACAATTTATCTGCCAATTCTAATCTCATTGTGGATTATTACTTTGGCCGTGAGCGGTTGTCATCTGTTGTCGTTACTAATCAATCTTTTTGTCTTGATTTCATCATATCGGATTGGTTGGAGTGCAGTTAGATTATTGAGTGCTTTTCTTTTTCAGACTGCAATGAATCCCAACACAAGTACCAACAACACAAATGACAGTTTCCAGCAGTTGTTAAACCAGTATCTGCCGGTCACTCAACATTGGTTCTCCTCAGATAGAGCCAGGCCGCGGTTTCGCGCGGGGGCTGTTCGACCCAGAAGATCATCAACAGTTCAACGAGGAGTGGAACTGAGGAGTCAATATGCCCGTATTCTAGCGAATTTCAGGGCCAAACGGGGCAGGATACCAAAACAACAATCTCAGTCAGTCAACAGTCTCGAGATCTTAAAGTCACCAGTGGTCGCTGCGGACCAGAAATCGTTAACCGGACTGGTGGGAATTCTGGATTCAGATGTATTGTCGGAGCTCACGGATGAAGATGCCAGTTTAAGTCTCATGAAACGAGCAATAATCAACCGGGATTACGAAGGATTTTGCCGTATCGATTCCTATATTAGATCATTTTGGCATTGTGCAGCGGTAGTTGATGGCTGTGTTGTGGTGGATAATAGGATCGCTATTCCCATGTGTCTACGCAAACCTTTGTTATCTCGACTTCATAGATCGCATGCGGGTCAGTTAGCGATGGTTGACGCAGCACAATACATCTGGTGGCCCCGAATGCATCGGGACATCATCCAACTGTGCAAAGATTGTCCTCAGTGCACAAAGTTTGGTAAGAATTTGAAAGCGAACGTATCATTTAATTCATCCAAGCCTTTACCTCTGTTATCGGGTCTTAATGAAGAGCTGCAACTTGATTACGCAGGCCCTCTACTTGATTCATTTGGTAATAGCATATATATCTTGGTCGCAATCGACCGTTACTCAAAATATCCGTCGGCTATGATTACGCGTTCCACGGGAGGACGGAAGATCATTAAATTTCTCAAATCATATATTCAACAGCACAGTATCCCCAAATCCATTAAAACAGACCAGTACTCCGGTTTTAAAAATAAATTAGTGCAAAATTTTTGTCTAGAGAAAAATATCGCACAATATTTTTGCCCGGTGGGGGACCATCGTGGTTGCAGTCTAGTCAAACGGTCGATACAAACAATTAAACGTCGTTTGGGCGCCTCTCGGTTAAGTTCGGATTTCTCTAATGTTCAGGATACTCTTAGGTATATTATTGAAGATATCCGGGTTACAAAAAATTCAGTTACCGGGGTCTCACCGTTTGAACTTCATTTTGGTCGTCCTCCGAATACGGAGCTATCTATAGCGGCTGATCGCTTATCTTCGGGAATTCATTTAGACAACCAACGTTTGGAACGGGACTTGCTCACACCAGAGCAGCGACGGGAGCAGTGCGATAGTCGTCCAAGAATCAAAGTCGTCAAGAAAGGGCAATCAAGCCCGACGGTGTCTCCACATTTTGGTGGAACCACAGACTCAGTAGCGGATACACCCCACTATTGTGCACTGGAGAGCTTGGCACAATCAGCAAACCAGTGGTTGTCGTTGAAAAAGTCTCTGACGCATCAGGAGGGAGTCAAAGCCCTGAAGACCCTGACGGAGAGAAATCAAATCCTCGCAGCCACTCTTCGTTCGAACTTGTCCGCTGGTACCCTCAGATTCCGGAACCAAATGCCAACGGAACAAATTCGCCCTTCGTTGCCAAAACGTAATTTGGACTATTTAGTATTGAACGAACCAAATAAGGTCGAAATTTTTCGGAAATTTCTAAATAGGAAGTCTGGCAGAGAACTTTTCAAACCTTATAAGGGCAAAATCGTGCGGATCACTGAATCCACATATATTTCTGATAAAGGGAAAGTTATTAGAAGGAATCACTTGGCAGTACGTCTTAAATCAACCCAACTAAGTTTTTCAGGAAAACAACTAACTCCTGTGAAGAAAGGGCAGAAACGCCCAATCGTGACATCTTCAACATCATCATCGGAAGACAATAGGCCTCTCAAACAATCGGGTTCCAGACAACGTATTTCAGCGAAAATAGTGTACGTGCCTGCTCATTCGAAATTCCCATCTATGCCAGTTTCACATACTCCACCCCGCAGTCAAATGGTGGCGTCGAAGTTAAGGGAAGATGCAACTTCGGAGGCTCCGGGTATACAGAACATCCCGTATCCACAGCATTCTACTCCGGTGGTAGACTTGACAGTTTCTTCCTCTACGTCGGGTAATCCAGGACCAGAGGCTCCTATTAGCGTCAAACCAAAGTGTATTAGCATCAAACCGAAATCTACAGTTATTGTCTCTTCCTCTAAGTCTAGCAATTTAGGAACGGAAATTCCTATCAGCATCAAGTCAAAGGCGTCAACTCCAGTAATGACCCCAGCAGGCTCAGATCTTATTCCCATCTCTTCAGACGAAGAATCGTCAATCTCGAAGTCACAAGTAGGAACCTCATCAAAATTGGTAGCATCGGGCTCTAACACCCAAGATTGTCACGGCACACTTTCGGAACAGGATGGGAATATGTCTTCATCGTCAAATTCGTCACGGTCTTCATCTCGACGGAAAAAGCAGACTACATTCTACGGTAGTCCTATTAGACATTCAGTTAGTGTCATTCAGTCCCAGTCAACAACTACTCCTCCGTCAACACCTGCCTCTCCGGACAAGAAAGTCCGTTTTGTCGTGTCTGGTTCTGATCGATCAAACCAAGTAGGCCAGTCTAGGGCAGATATACCCGAGGATTCCGCAGTTTCAAATAGGAAATTTATTCGCTTCCCCAAAAAGAGTACTTCCGACTATCCTTCGCGTCGGTCAGATAGATAAAACTTTTGTATTTATCGAATTCGGCTTTGGTCCAGAACTTAAACAAACTATTGTACCCTGTTCTTGCTACAAACTTTAAAATTCATACCAAATTTCTCTGCAGCTTCACGTCGGTCAGATAAATAAAACTTTCGCATTTATCAATTCAGCATTTGGTCCAGACATTATACAAACTATTGTATCTTGTTTTCGCTACAATCGTTAAAATTCATATCAAACCTTTATATATGATAGTCATTTTCTATAAATCTCTTTGTCTACCTGATGTTCTTCACGGTTTTCATATGTAAAAGCGCATTTAGTAATTTTGTACTTTAGAGTAAAGAAATTCAAACGCGGTTTGAATTCTTTTCCCGAGAGGGGGAAATGTGGTGCGTCGTTGTTTAGTCTTAAACATGACGTCAACAGTGTGCTAGCTATTCGTGCTAAATTCCATTATCGGTCAAGGTCGTTACCGACCTGCCAATCCACTCTAGCCTTAACAGCATGCGCTCTCTATTCATTCTCTTCAACTTATGAAAGATTTAAGTTGTATTTACTTCTATTGTCATGACATAATTTAAATACTAATCTATCTATATTATTTATATGATAACATAACAAGGAGAATTGATTCTTGTTTTAAAACTGTCTTTCGACGATTCACATCCTTGCTATAAACCGTGGTATTTCTCAAAAAAATTGTTCACATGACTAATTTTCATTTGAACTTTTTACTTATTTTTGCAGGAAATTTTAAATGACCACTAGTAGTTTACAGAACTAAGTGAAATATGGACTCTATACAGACTTGTCTGCACCAGCAGTCATATTTTGAAAATGCTTGCATCTTGAGCACCCTTTCTAATTGAAAGTTTTTTTCTTTCTTGGTTGTAGATGTTTCAACTCGGATTTTGTATTAGTTTGCTTTCACCGTTTTTTATAGCTATAGTTTTTGTGACATCAATTTTTGGATCAACTTTTTGTCGGCTAGCTTGTCATGCTATCTTTGTGGTTGTTTCTTTTCTATTAATTGATGTTGCGCATCGTATAACAATTTCGTATAACTGTGTAGGGCGGTGAACAAAAGACTTCTCAAAGCAGATTACTTGAAGTCAACAAAACCGGGCGTGGATCCCGAAAGATTTTTCTTGGCTTGTTCGGTTAGACAGAGTCTGTCTAATGGCTTTCGACACGATGTCCTACGCTCTTATGAACAGTGCAAGATTGAAGCTGCTGACGTCGCAAACAAAACCATCCTTGTTCTGGGACCTTCGAAGAGTGGGAGGACTACATTCATAAATGCAATGATGAACTCGCTTCTGGAAATTGATTTTGAGGACTGCTTCCGTTATGAAATAGAGGGTGAGAACGTTCATAAATCGCCATATCCAGGAGCGAAGCGTTCTCTCAGCGGAGGTGTCAGCTCTTTCATAGGCTACAGTTTCTCAAACAAGCATGGCTTTTATACCATCGTAGACACCCCTGGAATTGACGCTGTAGTGGAAGATGGATCATCCCTGGATGCTGCGAAACTGATGCATGTCCTGAGCTCATCTGAACTGAAATGTCCGTTTTATTCCGACACATTTAAACCCGACGGTCAAGTTGTCTTTGACTTGAAAAAAATACACGCTGTGTGCTTTGTCGATTCTTCTCCTGACGCTGGGCTGCCGACTTTCACTCAGTTCTTGATGTCCCGATTCCTAAATTTGTTCGAAAATGCAGCAGGTGGAAATGTTTTCCTTGTGAAAACTTTCGGAAATGACAGAAATAGGGATGGTGGTTTCGAGGGCGGTACTGAAGACTTGTCTTTCCAGCAAGTTTTCACTGTAGATAATGGAGTTCTCTTTGCCCTGAAGAACACTTTTGATGCAAAGTCTAGTTTTACTTGGAATGATAGCATGAGCGCTTGTCGAAGTATCTTGGACTTCGTAACCCAGTCGCAAAGCCCAGCAATTCTCAAAAGCGGGAGGGCAAGCACTAAAGCCAAAGCAATAGATGTCGAACAGGCCGTCATTGGATTGCAAGAAATGACCGACAAGCTGCTATATCAAAGTGCTAACTTGGACCGCGAGAGAGCTAAGCTTAATAACATGAAGCAGGAGCTAAATGCAATGAAGCAAACAGATGTATACTCAGTTGTGACTCAAGAGAAAATCAAGGTTCCAAATCCTACGGGTAGAAATGTGACAGTATGCTTTGTCTGCAGTTATACTTGTCACGATGACTGCGTTTTTGCAAATAACGAAGATAAGGGATACTGTCTTGCTATGAATAGCTTTGAACCGAATATCGAAAAGCGTCATTGCACAGTTTGCAGATACAGATGTCATTGGCGACAACATGCAAACACTCCGTACTACTTCGAAGCACAAGAGAACAGCCAGTCGTTCGCGTTGGGAACCCGTCTGGAGGAGTTTAGAATCAAATCGGACGATGTTGAAAAAGGAGAGAAGTTAGTGCAGGCATTGCAGCTGAGTTTGATGAAGTTGCTGCTGGACATGATGTCAAAAATGGATGAGATTGATAAATTCAAGACTGAAGTGAGTCATCTGGACACCACTGGACACTCGAGACAGAGGATGTTGAAGGAAAGACTCGTCTTAGAATTGCAATCTCTAAACCCCAAAAGAAGGGCGAGCACCAGTAGATTTTCTATTCACAATATTGTTTTTGATGTCAAAAACTCGAACAAAAAGGCTTTCATTGTTTAAAACTTACTCAAAACAAAAATTCGTTTTCCATTTTTTATATGATTCATCTTTTAGAAATAGTGCGGCATCGGTGAATATGCATGTCATGTTTTCTAGTCTTAAATGACACTTTAAGGGCAAGGTTTTTTCAAATTTTGAATCAGTATCAAGCTGTTTTTAAAAATCAAATAGTCGATTGGGTAGTTTTTTCTCAAATTAAATGATTTTGCAGTTTGATAAGTGTTGTTCTGATATTGCAATGAGAACGTGGCAATGAAGGAAAACTATGTGGACATTTTGATCAACAAGGAAAAGAAAGAGAAGTTTGCGGGCTACTCTGACAGAGTGAGTCAGCTGAAGAAGGTAAAGAAGGGAAGAGAGTTTGTTCAGGCCATGGCCACACCACCAGCCCCCGGCAGTGAACTCATCATACAGTGAATCAGTCATACAACGCTATAGTTAACAACTGATATGAATGGATTCCTATACTTTCAACTAACTAATAACTGGGGAATACTGTCAGTGTGATACGAAAAATATGATTTTTTTAATTTGAAAAATAAAATAATTTGTCACCTAACTGGAGGTTTTAACTGCTAAGAGTGTCCCTGAATACCATTTTGACAACGAAAAAAAATTTTTGTATAAAATTGGAAGACATACAATTGAAAGATTTGGTGCAATCAACTCAAATTATCTTTCATTATCTTTCTACAACGTGTATCAATTTTTTCATTTCGATTATGGTATCCGGGAAGACATCTTTCTTTTTTATCTGAATTTAATCCCAAAAACAGGAACAAGTGCGAATACATTAACAAAATGATATGTTTTCAGTATTGATCTTTTCTTTCAGTATTGATATTTTCTTCGGTGTTGGTCTTTTCAGTATTGATCTGTTTAGTATTGATCATAACATTTGACTGATAAGTATTGTACATAATACGAAAAATGTAAATAAAAAAATTTGAAAGCAAATAATAAATTGTGGATGATTTTTTTATAAGTACTAACTTCCTTTATTTGCAGATATTAGTTTTGCGAAGATGAAAAAATGAAAATTTCCTTGTTTCTGCAAAATTTGGAAGGCCTTTTCTTCATTAAAAAAATTTAGCGTATTATGCAAATCTAAAAAGAAGCTTGCCTAAAATGCTGTTTTTGAAGGTACTGACTTGAAGACAACGATTCGCGCTGCCTTTGAAAACTAGAAAAAAAATTGGTCTTTTGCAAAAAAAAGTTTGCTGCAAAGAAAACCCCAAATTAAAAACTTTCGATGGTGAGCGGGTGGTTTCCATGAGCGTAGGTTCTAATCCCCTCCAAATCCACTTGAGAAAGTCAGCAGTTAGATGTAATTTTTCCTCTCGTATTTTTTGGCAAAATTACAATTATCTCAAAGGCTTCTCCTTTTGAATACACTTGCGATCAGCGGAATGTTGTATTACGGACAGTAGTATATGTGTGAGGCGATCAGGGGGGGGGGGGGTGTTTGGTGACTTCCATGTATTAGGATAGGGTATATAGCATCTAATCACCAACCAATGTATTAAGATAGGGAATAGATTTCCTATGTATTAAGATAGGGAATAGGTTTCCTAATTAAGATTTTTGGCGCCCAAATTTTTTGAGCTCGATTTTGCCGATACTTGCGTTTCTTAGCTAACTGCTACAATTTGTGATATGTAAGGGCTATCTTGTCTTACAAAATTTTGGCATGGTAAGTTTCAGATGATAAGTTTCCGAAAATTTTTGAAAATTTTTTAAGTTTTAATTGCAAATACATTTTTATCTTGAAAAAAGAAAACATTTTTATCTTGGAAAATCGAAAACATTTTTTTTGGTTGGTAAGTTTCAGATGGTAAGTTTCGACAAAAATTAAGTTTCGATTTAGTGTATGGGATCATAAACTAATATATCACAGAATTTTTTTTTTCTCGAAAGAGTCTTTTGAATACTTACTTCATCTTATTTATATTCCCCCAGGTTATCTGGGGAAAATTTTTATGAGGGGATTATCTTTGACAGGTTAATTATTCCACTCCACAGGATATCAGGGGAATCTTGACAGCTCCTCACGGTTGATTACTTTTATATCCCACTTAATCTTTTAACCCCCAGGTTATCTGGAGAACGGATGACAGCTCCATTATACTTATTAATTTTGTTACTCATTTTTATCTTTTTAAGTTTTCCACAGAGTTAAGGAAGCTTGAGTTATTTTCCTGACAAATTAAAATTTAAATTTTTATAAAAAATTGAAATATCCAATCAAAATTGCATGAACTTTTCATTGGAACTAAGATGAAAATATTTTCATCTTAGAAAAAACGTATCAGATGTTTTTATCTAGTTCTCATTTTTACCTCACCTTGTTTATTTATTCTGTCACGTTTGTTGCTACCACTAATTTCTCATTTATCACTTTGACGTAAATCTTTGAAAGTTTTTTTGAAATTTCCGAAATTTTGTCAATTGCTCTGCCACGGTAAAAGCTTACATTGAGAAAGATATAGTATCAAACTTTTTTTGTGTCTGATATTTTTGTATAATAATTTTTCTATCTCTCTCAGAGTAAACGTTTAAGAAATTTATACAATTTACTAGAAGTTGGTTGCAATTTTCATAAATTTATCTACTCTATCGTTAATTCTTTCAATTGGGGGACTACAACATCCATATTCCATCATCATTCTCCTTGTATTTCAACAAAAGATTAGTTGCTAAGCTGCTTTTTCTACAAAAATGAAGAATTTAAAGAAATAAATTTCATAAATAATCAAACAATTCACTACATCCTAGTGATTTTTCTGCAAAAATCACGCTTACAAATAAAAATTCTACGTCCAAAACATGCACATTTAAAACATGCACATCATGAAAAAAATTCAAGTTCTTCTAGAAGAATTCAAAAGGAAGAAATGCTGAATAAATTGCATAAAATCCACGCAAATTATCAGTCTTTTGTAGCTTTCGAGGAAAAATTTGTCGATACTTTTCTGTCAAAAGGGGTAAGTTGATCTCTTTCTTCCCAAAGAATCAGCAAAGTAGTAGCTTTTATCCAGTCGAGCGTTCATGATCCAGTGTTCTCCTCTATCATTGCTTGGGGCTGAGTTGATAATTGCAAATGAGTATTTTGTTTATTGAGGTACTGTATCAAAAGGGTATGATTCCATGTACTTGAATCTGAGCTCTGGAATTAATGTAATAATTTGCAAAAGTGAAAAATTATTCATCTTTGCAATCGTAGGCCGATTTACACCTAAAAAAGAAATGGATAGTTTGATAGTGTACTCTAGGATAAAAAAAGAAAGAATTATGACTTACACACTTTAGGAATTGAATCAACAAAGTCCCATACACAAGCCTGATATAGTGGGCAAAGTTTATTGAACACTGTTTTACAGTCTACGTTGAAGAAGTGCTTCGAATTTTCAACTAAACAGCATTCTTTCTCTAAACAGCATTCCTTTTCAACTAAACAGCATGTACTTGAATCTGAGCTCTGGAATTATTTCAATAATTCGCAAAAGTGAAAAATTATTCTTCTTTGCAATCGTAGACCGATTTACACCTAAAAAAGAAATAGATGGTTTGATAGTGTACTCTAGGATAAAAAAAGAAAGAATTATGACCTACACACTTTAGGAATTGAATCAACAAAGTCCCATACACAAGCCTTATATAGTGGGCAAAGTTTATTGAACACTGTTTTACTGTTTTCTAGGTTGAAGAAGTGCTTCGAATTTTCAACTAAACAGCATTCCTTCTCTATATTTTCTGGAGCTTTAGGTCTGAAGAAAAATAAAATAGATAGTACAGAGATAATAACAAAGAAAAGTATTTTTATAGGAACCTGAAAACTCAAAACAAGTAAACATTTTTAGCGATTGTTCCGAATTTGTCAATTTGAATGTTTTGTAGTCTTTCTCCCAAAACTATCATTTCCGTTACTTGCTCCAAGGGAAATTGGAACAACATTTCTAATCTCGAGCTTTCTCCACTAAGTTCTGGATAATGCAACTGTTCAGCTGCATCCTGTAGTGAAGTCGAGTCGAAAACTAAAATATAGTGATTTTGAAAATCCTCCATAGGAAGAGCTGGAAAGATTTCGTTAAACTGCATTGCTTTCATTGTTGTAACATTGGGGTGACAAGGAGAAGTTGTATCTTATGAAATAATTGCTCTTCCACCCCGAATACTTCTAAGCTCTCTCAATTGAAATTGTTGATAATTGAAAAGATTTTCATAAGAAGATCCCGCAACAGCAGAACTTGTATTAATTGCAACAGCTATCCTTCTGATTGGGGCATTATTGAAAACATTTTCCTGAATAAACTGGTTTTGACGAGATGGAGTGATAAAGGTTCTTGCTATAGTTTCTATGTAATTGTGATGAGCAGGTTCCCTTTCCAGATTCCATTACAAGTATTGATGACTAGGTTCAGATGCTAAAATTCTTCTTGTAAACAGTGAACAATAAACACTTTTCAGACATTTGGGTTATCAGAAAGCATGTTAAAATTAGGTCCAGCTCGAATTAGTTTATTTCAAACTTTGGTTTTTGGTACTAATAAATTTTCACAAGTAAACAAGTCAATGGCTAGCCTGGTATAAAGTGAAAAAGGTATCCCTGATCCTTAAGAGTTTGCTCTATCAGTGAACGGAAACATATCAAATGCTTCCGGATGTTCTTCAAAACTATACCAGTGACAAGCAAGTATTCCTTTATTACTCACTGCCGTCGATTTAAATTCGTTCGATGTGTATGCTTTATGAGGATATAATCCATCGGCGTTGTAAACCATTGTATTTTTAAAATTAACTTCACAATTGGAGATAGAAAAGGTAGTAGATTGCTTACATAAGTTAAGTAAGTTTGTGGTTTTGTATCTGAATCTTCCTCCGATTTTGCTTTATGTTCTGTTTTTTATTTTTTGAAAGCATCAAACAACATTCCTTTTAAACTGAGGTTGGTATCACGCAAATCCAAATAAAGATTACGGTCCGTCTCAAATTCAAACTCAATACTGCTTTCATCAAGAGAAGTACTGGGAAATACTTCTTGCGTGTATGATGAAATTTTTGTTTCCAAAAGTGAGACTTCATCAAAAACCTCCGAAGATGAGTTTTAATAAGCTCCTGTACCGAAAATGACTTCTTTGATTTACACTCATTTTATCTTGTCAAAATAGTCTTTGCGAGAACGACGGATTTTTGAATTACTTTTTCGAGAAATGGCTCTTTTTGTTTTACGCTTAGATTTCTTTTTTCTACCTTCCAACTGATTTCGAACTGTTTTTGTTCCAACATCTTTTGCAAATATTTTGAGTTTTTTTTGTCCACTGACATTTTCTCCAATCTCTGGAGCAGCAATTTCAAATAAACCTGCTCCGTCTCTTTTTGCAGCTGGGACTATAAACTTTTTAATAAAGGGAATTGCA